ACCCCCGAGGAATGGCCCCACCACCTAGAATTACCCTGTCCCTTGTCCAAGCGAAGGGCCAAGGCCCCCGGCCTTGACGGAGGTGACGGGAAGGCTCCCCCTTGGTCGGGGCCGAGCAGGGCTCCAGGGGGTCCGGGGGTGCGAGCGCCTGCCGCTCTCCACACAGACCCCTTGGTGTACTACCTGGGCTTCCTGCCTGTCGTCGACGGGGACTTTCTCCCCGACCACCCCGTCAATCTGTTTGCCAACGCCGCCGACATTGACTACCTCGCTGGCACCAACGACATGGACGGCCACATCTTTGCCACCATGGACATGCCCGCGATCGACAAGGACAAGCAGACTGTCACCGAGTGAGTAGGACGCAGGACCCAGGGCAGGGCCAAGGGCGGGGAGGGGAGGCATCAGCCGAGGGAGGCCGTCAGCACGCACGTGGAGAGGGCCACGGCGGCCCCCTGAGCGTGCGCAGCAGACTCCCCTCCCGCGGCCCCGGGTGGAGGGTGCAGTGCCGCCGTCTCCCCGCAGTGAGGACTTCTTCAAGCTGGTCAGCGGGCTCACCATCAGCAAGGGGCAAAGGGGCGCCTCCTCCACCTTTGACTTCTACACGGAGCCCTGGGCCCGAGACGCGTCCCAGGCGGCCAAGAAGAAGACGGTAGTGGACTTGGAGACCGACGTCCTCTTCCTGATGCCCACCAAGATCACCCTGGCCCAGCACAGAGCCAACGCCAAGTGAGAACCTGGGCAGGGGGCCCACTCAGGGCACACGGCCACCCACTGAGGCCTCCCCGGGGGCGGCCCACGGGGGGCTAGGAGTGCCTGCACCCTTTGTGCTTCCCAGGCCCGACGGGATTTGGGAAGGACCCTCCTCGCCTCCCAGCCTCGGGGGACGGGGGACACAACCCTCCCTCAGCCCCGGGGCCTTGCCCCCAGAAAGCTCTGGGGTCTGCCGCCCACCCTACTCTGTGGCGGTTACTGCAGCGGGCTCCGGCCTGGCCGACTTTCCACACAACTTTGGCCACTACGCAGCATAGCTCTACAGAGTAATAGCCAGTGAAAATAGAAAGTAACCGAGGAATGCTTAAAAAGTGGGAAGATGAAATTATACCCGGAGGTCCAGGACGAGAACTTGGCAGCAAGTAGGTGATAAATTCAGCCCTGAGCTTCCTGTCGGTCAAGTCCGACAAGGAAACCCCTGAGAGCAGAAACCCAGGCCCACTGAAGGAAAAATACACACTCGTTTTCAGAGAAAAATCATCTGCCTTGACACTGAGTTATAGGAGGAAATGCCTCCCAGTTTTTGTGGAGGTGAAGCAGACAGACAAGCAAGGGAACCCGTAGAATCCACAAACCCATGACCTTGGCCCACGGCTTTGCCTTCCCCGGGGGCCAGGGCCCAGGCGCCTCATGAGTCTGGGGAACCACCAGCCCTTCTCCGGCGCCCCCGTGGGGCCCCTCCGGGCCCACCTCGGGGCTGGGCGGCCCTGGTGAGCCCCGGGCCGACCCGGGCGGTTTCTGTCCCTCCTCAGGAGCGCCAAGACCTACAGCTACCTGTTCTCCCAGCCCTCTCGGATGCCCATCTACCCCAGCTGGGTGGGGGCCGACCACGCGGACGACATCCAGTACGTCTTCGGGAAGCCTTTTCGCACCCCGCTGGGCTACCGGGCCCAGGACAGGACTGTCTCCAAGGCCATGATCGCCTACTGGACCAACTTCGCCAGAACTGGGTAAGGCGGGGCGAGGGGCCAGGGCCTCCCGCCACCTGGGCCCTCTGGGCCTGAGTTCCAGTCCCTGCCCCCTTGCACTTAACCCCCCTCGGGCCCCATGTGTGCATGAGGATAAGAGCTTCTGCCTGCGCCCTGGGACACGCACGTACCAGGCTGGTGCCCAGGACACATAGAGGCACCCAGTGGTCGGGTTGGCATGGAGGGCAGAGGGCTGCCCCGGCCAAACCGGGGCCAATCCAGGCCAGAGCGCGGCTCCCCAACCCCCACACCCCCTTTTGTCTCACTCTGCAGGGACCCCAACATGGGCCACTCGGCCGTGCCCACACACTGGGACCCCTACACCCTGGAAAACGGCAAGTACCTGGAGATCAACAAGAAGATAGACAGCTCATCCATGAAACAGCACCTGAGGAGTGACTACCTGCAGTACTGGACCCTGACCTACCAGGCGCTGCCCACGGTCACCGAAGACGAGGCCACGCCCGTGCCCCCCGAGGGAGACTCCGAGGCTGCCCCCGCACCCCCCGAGGGCGACTCCGAGGCCACACCCGTGCCCCCCGAGGGTGACTCCGAGGCCGCCCCCGCGCCCCCCACGGGAGACTCCGAGGCCGCCCCCGCACCCCCCGAGGGAGACTCCGAGGCCGCCCCCGCACCCCCCGAGGGAGACTCCGAGGCCGCCCCCGCACCCCCCGAGGGAGACTCCGAGGCCGCCCCCGCACCCCCCGAGGGTGACTCCGGGGCAGCTCAGATGCCTGCAGTCATCGGTTTCTAGTGTCCTTGGCCCCAACAGGCCACAGTGTGGGACCCCAGGGAGCCCGCCCCGCCCCCAAGCTCTTCCCGAATTAAAGCCTCCTCCTTTCCCTGGCTGCCGTCTTTCTTTGCTCTCGCGTCTTCCGGCCTCCGTCGCTGCCGCTGTGGGGCCCGGTGCTCCCCGGTCTCCGTCCGCCTCCGGCACAGGAGGTGGACGGTGCCGTCCCAGCCGCACCTTGGAGAAGGGAACGGGGTCCGAGAAGGGGCAGAGCCAGGGCTGCACACAGGCGTGGGCCCCGCATGCCAGGCTGCTGGCCCCGAGGGGCTGGCTCTGCCCGAGGGTGAGCAGGCCCATGCGGCCCAGTCCCAGCCTCAGCCCAGCCCTCCGGGCTCGGGAACCGGCCTGGGAGGAGGAATGGACACTGTGTCCAGCTGGACCCGAGTCAAAGACAGAGTAAAGCATCACACTGGACTGTCAGGAGCAGAAGGTGCAAGAGGGCTGGGCACTGGCTGCACCCCCGGCAGGGGCCTGGGGCGGGGCGCGACGGCCCCGGTGCAGTCTGGAGCGGGAGCAGGAGGCAGAGGTCAGACCTCCACCTGGTGGCCTGGCACTTGTGCCCCTCGCTGAGGAAAGCACAGCCCCGAGGCCTGTCACCCAGGAAGTCACATCCCTGCTTGGCTGGGCCACGTCAGGACGGCTCGGGCTCTTGGGACCCGGGCTGCGCTCACGCCAGGCGGAGGCGAGCCCTCTGAGCCCTACACGGGCAGCCACCGGGCTAACTCAGGGGGCGGCCCACACTCCCCCTGGCTCTGCCTTCCCAGGCGTCTCCAGGGGCAGAGCTGAGAACACTCACCGGGACGCAGGCCGGAGGCTGTCCGGGGTCTTAGAGGCGCCCTCAGGCCCAGGTGCTGCTCCTTAGCCCTGATCTCAGCGCAAGACCCGCGGGGGGACTGGGATGATCCAGGATTTCGTAGGCAAGGCCGCGCCCGTGGGCCAGCCGCCTGGGTGGTCCTCCTCCCCTGCCCTCCCACACCCCACCTTTCCCCCCTCCCCACGACAGTGGGTCGAACCACCCACCTCCCCATGCCCTAACCGAAGCCCAGACTTGGGCCGAGGATGCCGCCGTCCCAGGGCGCTGCAGGCCCGAGGGCTCAGGCCACCTGCCCTTTCGGGCCGGTTCGGGGGAGGTGGAGGGTTTGGGGGGCGGGAACCCAAGGGACTGAAATCTACATTCCCCATTGGTGGTCCAGAGAGACCCCAGGACGAGCCAGAACCCTCGCCTCTGCCTCCCCTGAAAGGCAGCCACGTCCTGGCTCAGGAGTGGGTCCTCGCAACTGTTGTTGATTAAAAATCAGGGGAAAAGATACACAACACGTGAGACGCTAACTTTACTGTTTTTAAGGGTGCCATGTAGGGGCCTTAGCGACACCCACAGTATTGTGCCACCGTCACCGTCATCTGGTTCCAGAACGCTCATCGTCCCCACCAGAGACTTCATGCCCATTGGGCAGTACTGCACCCCTCCCCCAATGTAGTCAACTTCCTGCCTCAGTCTGTTTGCCTGCCCTAGATGTTTCTGCTAAGGGAATCCCGGGTTCGTGGCCCATCGTGGCGGCGGCGTGGGTCGGAACCCCACGTCTCCTGGCGGCCGGACGGCACGCCCCCACGTGCCGTTGACGAAGGTGCCCGGCACCCTCGGCGTCCCTTTTATTTCTCTGAAGTCGATCCTAGCGCCGCGCCGGGGGCCCTGGCGGCCGGACCACTGTGCGGCATCTCAGCGTCCGGGGTCCTGTGTCGCGGGCCCGCGTTTCCCGTGCCTTGGGACTGGCTGAGAACCGGGTCTCAGGCGTTACCACGCGGAATCCAGACAGCCGGCTCTCCCCGTCCTCGCCTGTCTTTCTGTGGCTGGTCGAGGGAGGCAGCCCTCTGTTTCTATGGAAACGTCTCCCAGAGATCTTTGCAAAGCCTGCCTCGCTTGTTGTGTGTGGCCCCTGGTCTCCGTCCCCAGGTCCCGGTCGGCACCGTGTGACCTGGCAGACTTCCTTGCCTGTTCAAGGTCAGCGGCACGGCCCCCCCATCACGCAGTCACCCGTGGCTGTTGCATCTGATGAGGTTCCAGGGCCCCACGTTGGATGATTCTGGTAGATCCCCCCATGCCCGCCCCTGCCCAGCTTAGTGGTTGTTCCCACGGACACACTGACCCTTGGAGCCCCTCACTCCTCCAGCTCCTGCCTCCAGTGTTGTTTTTAAACACTCCCAGCTTTCAGAGGTGGACGCTGTGCCCCCTGAAGGCACCTTGACCTCTGATCCCAGGGGTCCGGAGGGCCCTGTCTCAGCCCACTGCCCACAAGAATGACACTGGAGTCCACGCATGCTCTGTGGACGAGGGGCTGGGCCTGCCCGCAGGAGGCAGAGCCAGGGGCACTGCCCCACCAGCCTCCCCAGCGGAGAGCACACTGGACCTCGAGTGTCCACGTGGCCTTTCAATCGGCACGGGTGGTGGAAGGACAGCACCGCCCCCGGGCTATAGTAGAAACGGGATTTTAATATAATATTCAAGTCTAGCATTTTCTATTTACAACAAATAAATATTGCCCCTCCCCAACCAGTAAACATGGTTTTTGCCTTTTATACAAATGTTCAATGCCCTCCCCTCCCCCCAGGTCTCCTTTCCCACGGACCCCGCCCCCTGCGGTCTCCGTCTCGTGAAGCCCAGGGCGCAGTGGTCCGTGGCACTCGCAGTGTCCAGCGGAGAGGGGTCTGGGAGGAGGGCCCCTCCTCTCATCTCCTCCCCTCCCCTCCCCTCCCCTCCCCTCGGGCAGGGGGTCGGGCCGGGGGGCCCCCTCTCTCAGATGGCCCCGACGATGGGATCTTTGGTGCGGCCTGCGGAAGGCTGGAGTGGTGGCAGGGGGCCGGGGCCCCGGCAGTGGCACGGCCGGTGCCCGTGGCTGTGAGGAGAGAACTGCAGTGGTCGGACCCGGTGGGAGACTGGGTGCCCCGGGGCGCCCGTGGGCACGAGTGGCAGTGACCCACACCTGGGCAGGTGTGGGGGAGGTGTGGCGAGGGCGTGCCCGGGGGCGGGCGGGCTCCGTGCCCCTTGGCAGCGTCGGCGAGTCCTCTGGGTCCAGAGAGCGGAAGGCACCTAAGGCGGCGAGTGGTCCACGGGGGGCCAGGTCAGCCTGCCGGCGGGCAGGCGTCAATCCCGGCAGCGAGGGAGGTCCAGGGTGAGACCGGAGGCGGGGGTGGCCTGGGCTGACAGGCGGGGCTCCGGAAGGCGCCCGCCTGGGCCGGGGCCACTGCCGTCTGTGAGCGGCTCCTTGCTCGGCCAGCCCGATCCTGGACAGGGCGGGCCTGTGGCCGGGCCGTCGCGAGGGACCCGCTAGAAGATGCCCTTGGCGATCTTGAGTCCCTTCTGCTTCATGCGGGGGAGGGTAGAGCTGGCCCCGTGCCTGACCTTCGCCCCCTTGGTGAAGGTCCGTTTCCTTAGGACGAAGTCGTAGTTGGCAGCGGAGTTCATGGCGTAGAACACGTTGGCGTTGTCGGGGATCTTCAGCTCTGGGCGGGGCGGGGTGGGGGAACGGTCAGCGTGAGACCCCGCAGGACGCTGTCCCAGCACGGGAGGGCCCCTGACCACCACCTCCCCCGAGTCCTGCCCCACTCAGGACAAGGGCTCTGGGCCCGGGGACAGGCAGCCGTCCACGTCACCTGGGCGCCGGGCCCTGCAGGGCCTCACACCCTGCTCCCGCGCCCCTCCTGTCCCCCCTGCCCCGCAGCCTGCCGTGCCCCTGCCGGGCTGGAGCCTGTGCCCGTCCCGCCGTGTGGCTCTTACTCGAAGCCACGGGGGGCAAACACAAGGCCGGAGGCCCGAGTCCGCCTGGGCTCCTTATTTCCCCCCGGGGGCGGGGCCGACCTCTCGCTCGCCTGTTCAGGAGCAGTCACATCCACACAGTCCTGAAGTGACCTCCGGCCCCTTGAAGGCCACCTGAGGCTCACGTGGCCCCCGGTGACAATGAACGAGTCTGACACCCCTGCTCTGGGCCCCGAACCTGCACGGGCCCCCTGTGTTCCTTCTCCATCACGGGGGCCGCACCTGGCCCGCCCCCTCACCAAGGTGGTGCGAGGAGGTGAGAAAGGATTTAGGCGCCAACCTCGAGGGATGGAGGGGGCACTGCCCACTGTCTGGGGCCACGGCGGGGTGGGCAACAAGCTCGGGGCAAAGGGGAAGGCTGGGGAGGGGCTCGCGGCTGACCTCTCTGGGGCGCACGTGTGACCCCGAGCAGACGCAGGGCGGGGCAGGCGGGGGCACAGCTGTCTAATGACCGTCATTCACGAGCAGCGCAGGAGCACGCTCCGTGTTTCGCGTGCTCGCGCCCAGCCCTGCTTCCGGAAACGCACCCGCCCCTTCATTTCCGGCGCGGGAGCGGGGCACGGCTGGCCGCCCGGCTCCGAGTCTGCGCTCACAGCACCCCCCCACCTTCCCCAGGGCTCAGAACACCACACTGCCCTCCCCCAGTCCTCCGGCCACGGGCGGAGTGCCTGTGTCCCCCCAGGATTCCCGCTGACACCCCCACTTCCAGGGATCAGGAGCTAGGGCTTTGGGGGACGGTGAGTCGTGAGGGTGGGGCCCCTGTGAATGGGATTGGGGTCCTATAAGAGGCCCGAGGGAGCCACCCCTCCCCAGGTGAGGACACCCCAGAAGCCGGCAGGCTGCAGTCCCGAAGACGACCCTCGCCTGACCTCACCTGGCTGTGCTGGGCCCTGAGCCCGGACCCCAGCCCCCCAACCCCCGGGGTCCTGAGGGACATGTTTCTGTTGCTCACAAGCCCCCGGTCTGGTGTCTGTCACAGCAGCCGGGACGGGCTGAGACGGTGGCCTGTGCACCTGGGTTTTAACCCACTGGGTATTCAGTCCCTGTGGTCACACGTCTCCTGAGGGACATGTTTCCTGTCCTAGCCAGAAAGCACCCCCTCGATGGCCCGTGGGCTTGGCCGCCAGGCTGCTCTGCCCCAAGAGAAGAGCCCTTTCTCTTCCCTGCAGCTCTGACCCGGGGTCACCACCCGGGCGGGGGGCTGCCCGCTGGAGCGGCCGTGTGAGCAGAGCCTGCTCCTAACCCCTGCTGGCCTGTGTTCCGGGGCTGCGGCCCCCCCGGCCCCCAGCCCGCCCCCGGTCCCGGCTTACTCCGCTCGTCCGAGATGACCTGCACCAGCTCGTAGTGCTCCGGCTCGCCCTCGTCCAGGTGGTGCTTGTCCATGGCCTTGCGGATGACGGCCGGGGCCTTGTCTTGGCTGGTCACCTGGGTCCGGGTGGGGACAGGCCGTCAGGGTAAGGACCCCAGAGGGGCTCCCCGGAGGTGCGACGGCCAGGGACCCGGGGAGCTGCCTCAGCACTGTGCTCAGGATCACGGCCTCTGGCCAGCGCCGGGTCTGTGGGGGTCTCGCCACCCTCTGCTGTCCCCTGAGGGGGCCTCCTTGCAATGATGAGGGGTCTTTCCCAATTGTTCCTACTGTTCCTTCCCCCACAAGCCTGCCACCTCCTCCCGTGCCACACGGGGAGACGACCTGCCCCTGTGGCATCAGTACCAGAAAGTCTGGGGAACAGACAGCCCAGAGGTGATGGCCACAGGGTGCCCGGGGGCCGCCTAAGCGCCAGGCCCGCCCCGGGCCGGAGGCTGCCAGCATGGGGGGCGCAGACCGACCCCTGCGGCTGCCTCTACCCCAAGGGCCGGAGCCCAGGCGGGCCTCAGACCCAGGGTCACACAGGTGACTGTGTCGCCGGGCACCTGGCCCAGCTGTGGGGTTTGGCGTGGACTGCGGCAGCCAGCGGCTGCTCTGAAGCCCGCTTCTGGAGGACGGGGAGAGTCCCTCCCACCCCCACGGCTCAGTCCCGCTGGCTCAGCCTTGACCTTCAGTGACATGCAGTGTCTGACACCGCTGGCCACCCCCACGGCCACCGGCCCGGATGGCCTCCTGCCCCACCTGCCCGCCTCTCCCAGCACCACAGCCCATCCCCTCAGGAGACTCAAGTCACAGGTTACCACTGTCCTCCTCTGCCCCAACCTGCCGTGGCTCCTGTCTCCTTCTGACGCTTCTGTGACTCTTACCCCTGACCCCTGCTCCTTCACCCCGGGCCTGCCGGCTGCCCCTCCCACCCCCAGTGTACCCCGACCTTCGGCACTGCCTGGTGCCCCCTCCAGGGGCGTCACTAGCAAGGCCCCTCCCGGCTGTGAGGGGACCTGCACCCACTGCCCTCATCTGATCACCATTGTGCCCTGGCGTCTCCTCCCCCACCCCCGCCCCTCCTGACGGGACCCACGGGCAGGCCGGCACAGGGGGCCCGACCCCTGCTTGCTGCCCGGCGGCGGGGACCGTGAGGGGACGCCGCCCGCCCGCCCGCCCGCTCACCAGGATGCTCTTGTACATGTTGCCGTTGTCCACGTCCAGGCTGACTCGGATGATGCAGCAGTCGCCCACCTGCTGGTTGTAGAGTGGCAGCGAGGCGCTGTGGCTGCTGACCCCCGAGACGGAGCGCTTGTGCGTGCGGGTGCCGGCCACGGGCGTGGTGGAGGCCGAGGAGGAGGAGGCGCTGCTGGAGGCCGAGCTGATGCCGGAGGTCTCCGGCGACGACTGGGAGGCCGACTCCCAGAACTGCGGGGAGGGTGTCGTGGTCAGCCAGGGCCCGGGCCGGGGCGCCCAAGGGCTCAGTGTAGCAGCCGGGGCGTCCCGGCCCCCCGTCCCGTCTGTGGGTGTGATGGGGGTGCCGGGAGGGAGGGCCTGGGAAGGGCTGCGCGGGAGGGGCGGTCACCTTCTTCTCCTGGCCGTCGGGGGACTCCGGGACGAAGCTCACGTTGGCCTCCTCCACGTCGGAGCTGGAGGAGCCCGCCGAGTGGACGCTGAGCGCGTCGGCGATGTCGCCGCTGCTGAGGTAGGGGCCGCACCTGAGCTGGTCGCAGGACTTGGAATGCGAGCTGCCGCTGGTGTTCAGCTCCGTGCTGGGGGCCTGGCGGCTGCAGGAAGGGCTGGGTTACTTGCGGGGAGGCCTCCCCTGGGGCGCCTCCTCCCTGCACCCCCGCCCCCACACTCTGCTCCGGGCACCGGGGCCGAGTGCTCAGCCAGTGCCCCCCGACACCCCCTTTGCTCCAGCCAGCGAACATCACTCGGCATCCCCCTGTTTCAGAGGAGGACACTGAGGCCCAGGCAGGTGAGGTGACTCCCCTGGTCACTGGAGGAGCTGAGACCTCGGTGCCAGCTGTTGGCCCCCCCGCGCCCCGAGGGACCCCCCTGCCGCCCGAGGGCACCTACTCGCTCCAGCGCTTCACGATGGCGGTGCTCTTCTTGGCCTTCAGGGTGTTGCTGGCCGACTCGGAGGGGGGCTCCAGCTCACACGACAGGTTGTAGCTGCGGGACAGAGCGGCAGCTGTGAGCCGCCAGGAGCCACACGGGGCCTCCCTCCCGGCGCCCGCCAGCGGCTGGAGTCTGGGCACATCTTGCCATCTCACCAGGCGACAGGGTCCGGTGCTGACCGCGTGCCCACGGCACAGCCCCCAGAGCCGGCTCCCGGGACAGCCCGGCCCACCTGCGAGGGGTCCGACTCCCGCCCCGGCCTCACCTGTCGGCCTCGCTGAGCCTCTGCGTGGCGCGGAACCAGGCCCCGAACTGCTCCTCGGGCTCGATGCTGTAGTTGTTGCAAGCCGACTGCAGCAGCTTGATCTGGGCGATGACTTCAAACTCCTGGGGCCGGGGGGGAGGGAAGGGGGGATGGCATGGGGCGGCAGCTCGGCCAGGGCCCGGGCTCCAGGGCTCCTCCCCTCCCCTGCCCCCACCCAGGCCTGGCCTGACTCTCAGAGAGCCGACCTCGGTTCTCACGCCCACCCGCACCCTGCCCTGGGAGAGGCTCCCCCCATTCTGTGCCTGACTCTGCCCCCCCACAGATCAGGAACGGGGCCAGGGCCAAGAGTGATCTACCCAGGGGGCTCCTCTGATCTCCACCCCCGCCGTGAGGGCTGCGGCCGCTCACCTTCCTCCTCTTCTCGAAGTTGATCAGCCTCCCCTGCAAGGCAGAGAGCCAGCGCCCGTCAGAAAGTGTCCCCTGGCCCCGTGAGGACCCGGCACCCGCCCCAGGCTGCACTACCACCAGCACACACCAGGGGGCAGGCCAAGCCCACAAGCTTGGACTGTGGGTGGGTGCTGGGGGGACCTTTTTGCTCAGCCCCCCGAGAGGAAGGATGGGGAGACGGAGGCCTTGGGGCTAGAAGGCCCTGCTCGGCCACCAGGCACCGGACCCTGGAGGGTCCGGCTCCTTGCCCATGGGCACTGCCCCAGGGAGGGGCTGTACTCTCCTGCAGCTCTGAGCCCACCCGCCAGATGGCGAGCTGGTCACCCACAGGTAAGATGGGCAGGTGCCCAGGGGCCCTCCTGAGACGAGGTGTGCCATGTGGGGGGCTCAGGGCTTGCTGAGGGGTGCACTCCTTCCGGGGTTCGGGGTTCAGGGCCCCGGCCCGGCCCCCCTCCCAGCCCTCCCCAGCCCCCAGCTCACTCACATACAGGTAGTCCTTCATCGCGGTGTCCAGCATCACCAGGTCCGTGAGGAACGTGCCCAGGTAGGGGATGGTGCCCTGGATGACACCCTGTGGTGCCGGGGTGGGACGGGGTGAGTGGGGTCCGCGGCCACTCCCCCGGTAACCCCTCAGCCCTGGCAGGCCCCAGGCCTCCTGCCGGGAGCAGCCCGCAGGTCTTTGGGCCCCAGCCGCCTCCCCGTGTCCCTGGGCCCCAAAGTCCCCCTGGTCACCTTCCAGGCCTGGTATGTGGCCAGTCCCCAAGATTATATGGTCTCTGGCTCCCCCCACCCCTAAGTCCCTGAGCCCACCCCTTCCAGGCCCTTGCCCTAGTGGCTCTCACTAGTCCCCCCGAGACACCCGTGGGTCGGGTCCCAGAGGAGGCCAGCCCCTGCCTCTCCCGGGCCTCGGGCACACTCACCGTCTCCTTCGGCCGCTTCTGGGCCCTCTTGGGGTTCATCTCCAGGGTGGCGAACTTGGAGGTTCCCTCCTACCAGGGTAGAGGACGGGGGCAGTGAGGACTTCTCCCGCTGCCCTTTGCCCCACGTGCACCCAGATCCGTCTGGTCATTTGCACCCTCCCTGGACAGCAGCCCCTCTGGGACCTGGCTCCCGGGCCCGCCCTGTAGTGCCATCCCCGGGCTGGTCTGGGGAAGGAGGGAGGGAGTGATGCCTCCCCCTGGCACCCTCCACCACCAGCCCAGAGGACGCTGGGTGCCAGCCCTGGAGGACGCTGGGTGCCAGTGGGAGGGGACGGCACGGGAGCAGGAGACCTGACCCTGCCAGCTTCTGGGACAGCCCACACGCACCCCCCCCCTCACCCCGTTCCCGGGGCCACCTGGCCACGGAGCAGACAGAGCCCCCGCTCCCCGAGGCCCAGACGAGACAGGTCTGCAAGTCCCCGAAGGAACTTGCGCCGAGAAGCTCGCCCCACCCCTTACCTTGATGAGCAGCTCCCGGCTCAGGGAGTAGTTGTTCTCATCCGAGAAAATCTCCGACAGCTTCTGAAAGACCCGCAAGCTGTCCCTGGGGGTGCGGCGGGGGCGAGCGTCAGCGCGGACCCATGTCATCACGGACCCCAAAGACCCGAGCTGCCGGGGCGGGTGGTCCCACTGGGTGCTAAGGGTTCCGCGGGCCTGGGGAGGCGTCCCTTGCGTTGGTCACCCAGGTCCCCTTGCTATTTCTACCGAGTGGCTCTGACGTGGCCAGTTTGGACTTCATGTGGCTCAACTCAACACCTGACCGGTAGGGAAGCTGAGTCCTGCAGACACCCCATGTCCCCGTGGGCCCTGGCAGGTTGCTGGCCCCCAAAAGGGACAGTGCCCCCCCCGTGGGGGGACCCAGAGCACCTCGGGGCTCCCACAGAGGGGCCCGCCCACCTGGAGACCTCTTCCCACGTCTTCTTCAGCCGGTGGATGGAGTTGCTCTGCAGAGCGGAGAGGATGGCATGCAGCGACGAGAAGTTCTTGCGCGCCCGGCACTCCTGGCGGGGGCGGGGGTGGGGGATGGGGGGCAGCCGTGAGGTGGGGCCAGCACTCTCACCCGCTCCAGCGCCGGCCCCTCGGCAGACCAGACAGATGCCCGCGGAGCCCCCGAGGGGACCTGGGCCCCACCCAGGAAGGAAGGGAGGAGGAAGCGAGCGCCCAGGCGGGAGCCAGGGTACAGGTCAGGGTCACTGAGCCCCCGAAACAGGGGCCCGAGAGTGGGTGCGGGCGGCAACGGGGGGGCCCCCGAGGCGTACCCTGGCCACCTCGATCCAGTGCTCCACCACGCGGGCCCTGTCCCGGGCCGTGGCACTGCGGTCCCCGAGGCAGGTGGTGATGACGCAGTTGGCCACGCTGTTGAACTGGGTGACGGTGGCGCGGACGGTGGGGGCCAGGTGCTCCTTGCCCTTCTTGTCGCGCTGGGACCAGATGGAGCCCAGGCAGTGGTAGGGCACCACCTTCTTGAACAGCTCCTGGGGGGCAGACGGGCGTCACCCGCCGGCTCTGCCGTACCCCAGCTCAACGCCCACAGCCCCCCACCATCCTGGGGGCCCTGGGCAGAGGGCGCTCTAGAAACCGAGGACGGGGGGTCTTGGGGGGTCTCGGCTCAGTCTCCCACCCCCTGCGAGCGCCCAGCACACGAGGGGCCTGGAGAGGCGGCCGGCGGGAAAGAGGCTGGCGTGTTCGCCAGCCCGTCCGCTCTAACTCTGAGCACCAGGAAGTGGCCCCCACCTGCGCGGACCAGGGGGCACCCCGAGCCCCATCATGCCTGTCCGTGCTGTGGGTCTACAACTAGGGGCCTGGCTCTGGTGCCTGCCACATAGTCAGGTGGTCATCCGGTGCCCAGGAAGTGCCGGGGCTGGCGAGGCCTCCTGGGCAGATGGGGGTGACTGCCAGAGCCGGTTGCACCTCAGGGAGCCCCCCCACCTGTCTATCTGTCCACCTTATCTGTGCAGAGGACGGGGCGGGGGTGGGGCCCCAGCTCCACAGTCCACAGGGACACCGAGGCCTCAGGGTTAGGAAGCTTGCCCAGGTCCTGTGGTCCGTAATGCCAGGGCTGGGATTTGGGCCAGGACATCGGCTCCAGACCAAGAACGGCGGGGCTGGGCAGCGCCGCTCACCGCGTCCATCAGGGTAAACTGCTCTGCCACCAGGTCCGGCGGGAACGCCAGGAGGTGAGGCTTCTCCTCGCTCAGCCCATTCTCTGCGGCCACCGGCGAAGGCCAGGAAGGCTCTGGCGCTGGAGCCGGCCCCAGTTCTAGAGTTCGCGACAGAGCTGCCTCCAGCTCTGGAGTGGGCGTCGGGGCCAGTGCTGGCGCCGGCTCTCGCTCTGGGGCCGGCTCGAGAGCTGGCTCAAGCTCCGGAGCCAAGATTAGCTCTCGCCCCGAGACCAGCACTGGACTGGGCGCTGGGGCCGGGCTGGATGCTGCAGCCGGCGCTGGAGCGGGCTCCAGCTCTGGCGCTGGCTCTGGAGCTGGAGCTGGCGATAGAGCTGTAAGAGGAGGAAAGTTCAGCAACACCCCTGCTTCTCCAAGACAAAAGTCACACCGCTGCCTTCTAGAGAAGCCTCAGCCCAGCACCTGCAGGCACCCGGTGAGGGTCTGAGGCCGGTCTTTGCTCCTGGCCTGTGCGAGCCCCTGGAGGCCCCCTGTGTGCCCGGCCCCTCCCCGGCGCCCACCGCCCCTGCTCCTCACCCTCCAGCTCCGCCTGCTCCAGCTGAGCCAGGAGCAGGTGCGCACGGCGCTCCAGGTCGGAGCCAGGCATGTTGAGCTGCACGTAAGCCGCCAGCTGCCTGAGGCAGGGGAAGTCGGGGGGCTGGCAGAAGTCCTCTGAGTACTGGTCCAGCCAGGTGCCCAGGATGGAGGAGATGGCACTGGGCGGCGGGGAGGCGGCAGCAGAGTCAGGGGCCTGGACTCTCCCTCCACATGGCTCTCCCGGGGCCATGCCTGTCCCTGCCCACCCAGAGGCCAATACCCCCTGCCCCCTGCCCTGGACCATCCAGGCAAGGCGCAGGCCTGGTCAGTGGGCAGGAGCCGGTCGTCTCTGGGGGAAGGAGCCCTCCATCCACAGTGTGACCCTCTCCTGCCCCGGGAAAGCCCGACACCCTCCAATCTGTCTCCGGCCCCTCCCCCTGGAATGTCCTGTTCACAGCACACAGTGGCACACAGTAGGTGCTGCAGGAGGGTGGGAGGGAGGAGGGGCAGGCACCGTGTCCCGCCCAGCCTTCCCAGCCCTCGTCTTCCCTCCGACACTATTCTGGGGAACCGGGGCGGGAGTCACAAGCTGTGCGGGGTCGAGGTCCCCCCCACACCCTGCAGCCTCGGCCCCCAAACGCCCCTCCCTCGGGGACAGGAGGCCCTCCCGCCAGACCCGAGGGCCACTCACTTTCTCAGCTGGTCCTGGGGCCCGCCGTCCTCGTGGGAGTAGGGGAGGATGCACCCGTATCTAGAGGAGGCCGTGAGGGCGTCACATCTACCGTACCTGCTGCGACGTCTGGTGTTACTGGTGGACCCCCCCACCCCCGCCACAGCCCCCCATTGGGTCGGAGGCCCCGGAGGGCAGGGACGCTCGTCTGCTTTCCTCACGGAATTTTGTCACGTGCCCAGAAAAGTGCCTGCCCGCGGAGGGCTCCACATACGTCTGTGGGAGGGATGAGTCCCAAGCGGCACCTCACAGACATCTGAGCGGGTCTGGGGCTCCCCAGGCAGCCCCCATGCGTCCCTGCCCTGGCCTCTCATGATGGAGGAGACCCCCCAGAGAGGACCCGGGCCCTCCACTCAGACAGGAAGACCGCTGCACCCACAGGCACAGGGCAGTGAGGCTGGACACAGAACTGCTTGGTGGGAAAGTCGGACGTAAGGACCAGCACAGCCCGGTCAGCCCCCTCCGCCCGCCACCCTGACCACCCGGGGGGCGGGGGGGTCCGTCCTCTCAGCATCCAGTTTTCGCCTGAGCCAGCGGAGGCTCAGAGAGGTGGAGCGATACTCCCGAGATGCACAGCAGCAGGGGGCGGGGCGCTCACCTTTTGAAGAGCAGGTCCAGGACCTGCTGCGTGGTGGTGAAGGCGCGGTAGGTGCACAGGAAGATGGTCACGTAGGAGAGGTCGCTGCCCTCGAAGGCCGGCACCAGGTGCTCCACCAGCTTCTCCAGCGTGCCCGCCTTTACCGTGCGCACCTTGCAGGTCTCGTACAGGTTCAGGGCCGCCTCATTTTCACACTGGGGTGGGACGAAGGAGGGATGAGTGGTCAGCAGTGGCAGGGACCACCAAAGGCGCGGGGCCGGTGGGGGGTGGGGGCGGCGGCTGGAGCTCAGACGAACTCCCAAGTGCTCAGTGACTTCTGGCAAGAGGGGGGACATGCGTGTCCCCAGCACGCACATGTAAAAGTAGAATTTGAGGTGGGGGGTGACGAAAAATACTAACTCCAGCTGAGGATGGTAGCACCTGCCCGGGTTCGAGTGCGAGTTCCCCGGGCGCCCAGGCAGAAGGGCCCCAGGCAAGGGTGGGGGCGAGGAAACGGCTCCTCGGGGGTGGGAGGGGCGGCTCCCAAGGACACGGGGACCCTCAGGGCGGCTCTGTGGAGATGCCACAGAGGGAAAGCAGGCGCAGGGCCCCGGAGGGCGGAGCCGCCGTGGTCCCTGGCTCCCTTCTGGGCTGCTGACGGCAGCTCTGACCCGGAGGGGCCAGGGGCCGCGCTCCGTGAGAGCGAGTTACGGGAAGTGTGTGCGGTAACCTGAGCCCCCGCCCTTTCTGGGGAGAAGGCAGCCCTGCCTGCCAAGCACCGTGGAGCCGTGGTGCTGGGGCTCCGAGGAGGGGAAGACTTGGGCTGACTGACAGGCTGACGGGCTGACGGCCCCAGGGCACAGTGGGGGCGGGGGGGAGGGTGGGGGTAGGCGTCAAACAAGAAAAACTGGGGCCCAACCCAAAAAGACCCCCAGACCGACATGAAATCAGAACAGTGCAGAGGTGCCTTTTCTGATGTTCACCCCCCTTGAGACAGTGACTGCATTTGGCCAAGCCCGGGGTGGGACAGTGGGGGGCCGGGGGGTGGGGGGCAAGCCCAGATTCCTCCGGGAGCAGGACTGTGGGACCCAGGGGCAGGAAAGGCGGTGGGAGCAGGCCCAGGGCCGTGGGGGCCCCGCCCCGCCCCCACACTCACCCCCACCCCACCCCCGCACTCACCCCGAGCCAGCGCTGGCCCTTGGAGGCGCCATGGTGCACCTGCACCTTGCGCAGCGAGATGGAGTAGACGACCCCGTTGACCAGCTCCTCGCCGATCTCCTGCGTGGAGCTCTGTGAAGACAGCGGCCGGTGCCAGGCGGGCAGGTCAGGGCCCCGCTGGGTGATGCCGCAGGGCGCCCACGCCGCCTCTGACCCCCCAGGCGTGATCCCTACCCCCGTCTGGAAGGAGACCGGACGCACAGCAGGGCAGGGGGCGCCGCTACCTGGGCCCTCCCCTCCCGCCCGGCCGGGCGCAAGTGGGGTGTGGGCACGGCCAGGCCACCAGGCTCCCAACGCCCCGACAGCCCGCTCCTGCCCAGGGCGCCCCCAACCCAAGTACGGTCACTTGCTCGTTCTGCAGGCGAGGAGCCACCCACAGTCACGTGACACGGCAGGGCCGTGGCAGGCCTGGGACCCCTGCCCCTCCGACACGGCCCACTGCACCCTGGGACGCGGCGCCCCACCTCCATCCCTCCTCTGCCCAGCCTGCGCCCCCAACCCCCCCGACCCCGCAGGGGTGGTGGCCCTGCTGGCCCAGCCCTGGAGTCATCGTCACGGCTCCGGGGCAGGTGTGGGGATTCTCCGGGCCACATCCGAGGCCACTTCCTTCCCCTTCTGCTCATTCACAGCCGCGTGCCCTCTTGGGCAAGAGCGGAGTTCCCTGCCTGCGGTCACGTGCGTGGGGCAGAGGGAGAGGGGGGGCAGTGCGGCGTGCGGGCTGGTGGCTGGGGCTCCATCGAACCCCAAGGCCACGGAACTTCGGCTGGGCCGGGAAGAGGAGCCATCCAGCCGACACTGGACCCCGGGCAGAGAGAAAAGGCCCTGGTTTTAGGAGGCAGCAGCCCCACCCTGCTGGGCAGCCTGGCCTGGGGGCTGTCATCCAGGCTCCCACAAGGCCACTTGGTGGTCACCGCCGAGCTGGGCTTCTCAGCCCTGTCCCAGCTGGCCCTGTCCAGGGAAGGGTGGGGGGGGCCCGCAGCAGTGGGAGCCAACCTCTGAGAGCTCAGGGAGGGTCTGGGAGCCCGCAGCTGGGACCACGCACAGGTCACTGCCCCAGCAGGGTGGGCGTGGGGTTCAGAGGGCCCCCTGCCCCCCCCATGTGACACGTGCTGACTCAGCCTGGGCCCTGCAGACAGCCCTGCCCCGAAGCGCCCCCTGGCCTCAGTGGGGGCCCTGGGCCAGAACCAGGGGCAGCATCTTGGACTGTAACCCGAGCTGTCAGCACCCCTGGGTCAGCGACCGGAGGGCCTGGGCCTCGGGGCTCCTGCCCGCCGGGGGCTCGGGAGCCATCCTTCAGAAGTCCGCTTCCTCTGACCCAAGGCCGCCCTCCCGCCCCTGGCAGCGTCCCAGTGGGAAAGCCACCAGGGCCACACAGGGTCCCCCGACCGACCCTGCACTGCCACCACCTCCAGGGAGAGCGCCAGCCGCTTCTTGGAAGTCAGCAGGGAACCCACTGCAGATCCACACCCCCCCCCCACTCTGACAGGAGCGGCCCCTCCCACACCCACGCACCCCACACAGCCCACACCCCGGGGGAGGGGGGTCAGCCCTTCCCCTGAGGAGGGGAAATTCCTCCTCCTGAAGCAGGAAAACAGAAACAGATGCACACTGTCCACCCCCCCGCCCCGCCCCCCCCCCGCACCCCTCCCTGCTTAGAACAGCCCCTCAGAGGGGGGTGGTGACGGACAAGGGGCTTCAGAGGCCTGCCAGCCCTGCCACCCCCCACCCCCACCAGGCCCTGGCCACCCCCACCTCTCCTCCAAGGTCCCAAAGCCTGCCTCCCACAAAGCCCCAGCCCCCCCCCCGGGGCATTTCAGTCACATCTGGCCCCGCTGGGAGCCAAACACAGTCCCTCGCGCCCAGGTTCTTGGCAGCCGAGTGGAAGTCCAGCGCGGGACAAGCCTGCCAGAGGGCAACTGGACTTGAACCCCTGGGGAGCCCACACGGCACCTGGCTCCCAGGGGCCTCCATCCAGGCCCGCTGGACAGAGCGCTTCCTGGCCAGGAGAACCTCGGGTGGGGCCAGGGCCTCGGGTCCAAACGGGAGGCTCTGCCGTGAGCCACGGCCCCGCTGGCTGCGTGCGAGCAGCTGGCCGGCCCTGCCTGGGTGTCATGTGATCCCTGAGCCCTTCCCCCACCCCGGAGGGGCCCCCTCTGCCAGCCGGTTGGGGGGCAGGGCGGGAGGCTGCGCCACGGGAGCCGGGCTGGGGGAGTCGCTGCCCTGTCACACAGACGGGGAGCCGCTGTAGCCGGTCCCCTCCCGCAGCAGCAGCAGCAGCAGCAGCAGCAGCGGGACGAACCCGGACTCGAGGGCATTTCTGAGTGCAGGCGCCACGGAGCCATCTACCGAGAGCACGGACAGAGGGGCGGGCTCTGCAGCGCGTCCCCGGGGTCCGCGGGGGGCAGAGCGTGGCAGGGCGGGGCGGGGCATCCGCTCCCTGCTCTCACCCCCTGGCCAGGGACAGGGACGGAAGGCAGCTGACCGCCCAGGCACTGGCCCCAGGACCCTCTGGGCAGGCAGCGCAGGGCGCCAGGACCCACAGACGGCCCTGGGCTGCCCCATCTGCAGAGTGGGCTGCCCGGGGGTGGGAGCAGCAACCCCCGGGGGGGCCCTGGGGGAGGAGGGACTGGCCTGCAAACAGATGTCCTGAGGGCGGCCCTGAGCTGTTGGGGGAAAAGACCGCCACAGGGGTGATCTGCCCTCAGGGGACAGCGCCTCCTGTTGCTGACGCCCTCTGACATCCCCGACTCAGCAGTCCGCAACACTGCCCGCCACTCCTGCACCAGGGTCCAGTGGAGTGAGGGTGGTGGGGTGCCCCCAGGCCCGGGTGAGCAGAAGCCAGCAGAACGGGCCCCCAGGGTGTCCCGCACCCTCCTGTCCCTCTGGACACAGCTGGAGCCCCGGGGAGGAGACAGAAGTGGCCTGGGTGGCATTTTAACCTGTCACCGATCAGCCTTCTTCGGGTGGGGGCCCCCGACTGCTGGCCACGCCCCAGTGCCCTCGGGGTAGAGTGAGGGGCTGGCCAGGGGGGCCGCGGAAGGTGCCGGGTCCTTCCCCAGCCCTGCCACCGTTGCCGGAGGACAGCTCACAACCGCGCGCGTACGGGACAGCCGGGCTGCCCATCCGGGCAGCTCTCCACGCCCGCGCGGACACCCCTTTCCTGGGAGAGTGACCGGAGGGCCCCAGAGGCCCCCGCTGCAGACCGGCTCCCCCTAAAGAGACCCGTAGAAGCTTTCCGACTTTTTTTTAGCCTTTCCCTCGAACGCGGGAGCTCAGGCGTGAGACGGATCGAGGAGGGCTGCTCGGCTCCCCCGCATCCCCGCTGCCCGAACCCAAGGCCACGCACCCATTCTACAGAGCGGCAGGCTGAGGCCCAGCGGGTGATCAGGCAGACAGTGTCCAGACCGAGGGGAGAACCAGGACTTCTCAAGTTCATCTCCAGACCACAAGCCCAGGGCAGGGCGAGTGAAGATGCCGAACGTGCGTCACCCGTCACCCTGCTGGTGTGTGGCGGCTGGGTGTCCCGCACGGGCCCCAGGGCACAGACAGGGCCCCGGCGGGGGCTCGAGGCAGGTCCTGGGTGGGGGGGTCACACTCCTGGTCCCCACAGCGGCAGCCCTGGCAGGGGGGGCCGCTCAAGACGTCCGGTTTTCGGGACAGCCAGGACGCCCAGTGACCCCAGAAACTGGAGTCTGGAGACTGTGCGAGGCCCCCAGGAGGCTGACCCATCTCCCCCAGAACCTTCTCCCCCCAACCCGAGCCCAGCTACTTAAATGTGCCCCAGGGGCCGGGCCTGCGAGGGGACGTGGCTGGCGGACAGCTGAGGAGGAGGCTGGCCTGGTCCCTAGGGGGCGTAGGGTGAGGCTGGCCGGACGTCCGGTGCCAAAAGCCACGCCACGGGCCAGCGTCCAGCGCACGCGGGCACTTCCTGGGTGCCAGGCCCTCGGCACGCTCATCACGTCTGGTCCTCCCAACACCTCACCTGATGGACAGGGAGGGAGCCGGGCGGGGACTCGGCCCCGGTCGGGCACCAGGAAGTAGCCGTCGGGGCAGGGACTTGAACCCTGGCCTCTGACTCTCAGGTCCTCTGGAGCCACACCCGGGACCCGGGCCTCGCTCCACAGGCGGCCACCACGGTCACAGCCTCAGAACAGAGTCCAGTGACGGGAAGGGCTCCCTGTGGTCACACGGCCCGTTGTGGGTGGCCTGGCCCCGCTCCCTCACACCCGTACCTCTCTGCGGAGAGCGGACACGCAGGCCCGCCAAGGGCCCCGAGGTCAGCTGCAAGGACCAGACCCCAGGGGAGCGCCACGCTGACCCGGAGCCCAGGGCGCGGGCTTTCCCTGGAACCCGGCCAGCAAACACGCCCGGGGCAGCCACCGGTGTCCAGCTCTGACGCCGTGCCAGGCGCGATGGGGATGGTGTATCAGGCCGCTGGTCTCGCGTGGCCCTCCCCAGGGCCCTAAGCAGACAGAGGAACTGGTGCACGGTCCATTTCACGGCCGAGGAAGCGAGGCTGGCAGAGCCGCGCCGCTCTCTCTCTCCGCCCCAGCGCCCCGGCTCCTGCCGGCCCTCTGGCCCCTGCCCCGCGGTTCACAAGAACAACATCAGGGCGTGACTGCAGAGCCGGCCCAGCAGGCAGGCCCGCGCTTCCCTGGAGCGGGGAGGGGAAAACGCCAAAGCCACACCCGCACCCAGAGGCCCCAAAGCCCCAAATGCAGCCCGCCTGCCCGCACCGGGGCTGCCCCCACCCTGCTCGCCCGGCCCCTTCCGGCTCCTCAGGATCGATCGGATCGGGGAAGTCGCTTCACTGCAGCTGCGTGTCCGGGAACACTGCGTCTCTGGGCTTTCGAGGCTGGAGGCCCGAGCCCGGGACGGGGTGGCCACAGCAGGGGCCACGCCGTGGGAGCCATCCGGGCCACCGGCCAGCGGCCCCTGGGAGCCAGGCCTCAACAGCCCGGTGCAGCCTCCCGAAACCGCCCCCGTCGGCTGGCTCAGAGGCCGCCGAGGGCCGGTGGGGAAGATAGGGCCTGGGTCCACCCAAGTCCCAGGTGGAGGACGGGACCCCTGCC